TGTATATAATAATATAATAATAATAATAATAATAATATAATTATATAATAATATAATTATTTAGTAATATAACACAATAATATAATATGACATATATACATAGACTTTGTATGCGTTGAAATATTTGAGATTAAGGTGGGGTATCCGTGTGGTATTTGCGGTGTTGAACGTAGATGATCATATATTATTCCTCGTTTACCAAACCTAATCCATGTATAGGGCACAGGCAATGGGGCGAGGAAGTGTAATAAAGGGCTTCTTCGCAATAGCTAGGTCAACTACTAGATACGCCAGCGAGCATGAGTGTACTATTTATTGGCATGGTCAGCTTTTGATCACTTTCCTGGCCGTTTGACGTAACTGTGCGTGTGTGGACACTGTCTGCATGCCCGGGATAGGCGATTTTGTCGTATGCGAGTCCTCTGTTGGGTCATCTGCATCGGGATGTATCTGCTTCCAGTTATGCCCATTGATGATATTCTGTAACAGTAGAGTATACAGGAAGCGAAAGGAGCCGACAACACATTAGCAATAATCTCACATCCGTGACTTCCACACATAACCAACGAAAGACAAGTGAAATAGGATCCGGCGCAATAACGTACCGTGGCGTGGTTATAGCCAACGTCAACGATCTCATGGAACGCTCCGAATTGCAGCGTCGAGTACACGTCGATTGGCGGTCTGACAAGATTTATATAGTTCTTGTCTGCAACGGATTCGAACTGGCGCACACAAGAGACGTAGGCTAAGCGCGACTGAATCTCCGCCATATCGGGAACCTGCCAAGATATTGGTTTGGGACTTTTGAGCATATATTCAATTTTGAAAAAAGAAAAGAACAATTCCGGGAATCGCGTAGAAAAATTTGCTATATATCCTGGGCTGGTAAAGGCTGTGTTTGTGAGCAGCGGACTTAAGCACACCAACTACTGCCAACTACTTCCATATAGCATAATGTGAAACACTGAAAACATTGAATCGGGCCGAGAGTACGGAAACCAGAAAGTGTATATAACTGACACACGATTTAGAAACGACTGACTCGATAAAGTATGTTTTCAGCGGAGATGGTGCCGATCACAGCCATCGAACATGGCATGCCAATTGCACACAACCGAAGGCTAGCAATTTCGGGTATGCACAGGAATCCTACACATACAATAGCAAGGGATCAGCATACCTTAATGGGCGTGGCAAACGGATTCCAGCGTTTCCACAATAACCACCAACCGCTCAAAGAGTCTCCGTAGTTGGTGAGATCCTTCTCGTCTTTCGAAGACACGTCGACCGCAATAATCGACTGCGCGCCCATATCACGCATGATGTCCGCCGGCAGATTATTGGTGTACCCTCCTAACGTAGATAGATACAATGAGAGATTGTTTATGAGCTTCTGTATACACGAATTTGTTAATGCGTGCCAATCTAGCGTGCGAGTGCAACTGTCATAGATGTGTGCACTGCTTTTAGGGTATTGGGGTATTAAACACACGTGTCGGAGCTCGTAGGTGCAGAAAGTGAGCTACGTAAAGGATGTGTTCTTATATTCCACCTGACTGCGCAGAACGACACAGCGGCGTGGTGGCAACCACTCACCGTCAACCAGCAGATGCCCATCTTCTGGATCGCACAACGGGGGAAGGTATCCGGCCAATGTCATACTGGAACGCACATATCGCCAAAGAGTGCCATGGCGATGTATCTTCATTTTGGAATCCGTCAGATCCGTGGTAATACCTGGTAGTATGGCACCAGCAGAATGTCTGAGCATGAGTTAGCTGAGCTATACAATACCTTAGCACACATACAACACCATACAGCAGGCCCTTTCACACGAGCGAAATAGCCCCGGCAAACAAAAAAAAACCATAGAAAAATGTTGACACACGGATAGTTTGTACCCGTTACTGGACACCAAAACTAAACCTTTTGTTCGTTCTTCACCACATACAAGCCAGGAATCACAATGCAACTGAGAACAGCTCAGATCGATCACGCGTCTGTGAAACATACAGAAGTAGGGGAGCCATAGATCCTCTATAAGCTGCTCTTGGAAAAGGTCGTGTATGCTGGTATTGAAACTGCTGCCATTGAATATAGCCGTTATGGGATAGGTCAGATCCATGATCTTGGCCCATAAGCTGGCCATCGCAAACGACCAAACTTGGGCACGCTCCCACACTCGTTCCCACTCTGTCACTTCGCTGTAGAGCCCTCCTATTTAATGCGAGTCAGAGCATATCAATCATCATGAATTTGCCATTCGTGTTCCGAGTTAAGAAAAATGTATAGAAGAGGTGTAATACTTCAATGATGAATACAACCGAAGGTACGAAGGGACATGAACCGTAGAATTCGAAATGCACTCGTGATTCTGCTGTTGCTTACGTGTACCATTGCCATCTGAAGAGAAGTGTGTTTGGTCTTGGTTTCCTGTACAGCTACCGATTTCATTCTAGCGGTAATACTATACGCACACACACACAAACACACACACACCACACACACACACACACATATATATATACCTGCATATACATAAACAAACATATACATTATACACACACATATATATATATATATATATATACATATATATATATATATATTATATATATATATAAAATATACATACATAAATTCATACATACATACATACATACATAAATACATACATATATACAAACATACATGCATAAATTCATACGTACATTTTCACAACATACACACACACACACATACATCCATTCATACATACATACATACATACATACATACATAACAGACAACATACATACATACATACATAACAGACAACATACATACATACATACATAACAGACAACATACATACATACATACATAACAGACACTCACACACACGCACACACACACATATATATATATATATATATATATATATTAAAAGGATGAACTTGACCATAACTGAGCAAAAGTACCTATAAGTGCTCCTATACTTGTACCGCCAACCATGTCGATGGGTATGTTGCTTTCTTGGAGTGCATGCAGTATACCGATATGACTGAGCCCACGGGCACCGCCTCCGCCCAGTACAAGACCAACACTCGTGTTGGTCAAGCGCCGGGCAAGCCTATTTGGTGTGCACATGATTGATGAAGAATAAGCATATGTCAATATGAATCGGTAGATTCGATTGGTCAAGTCTCTGACGAATCTAGCTGCAATAGATGCGAACTGTTGCACAACTGAGTGACGAATCGATGAGAATAAAGGCAACTATACTCAAATGGCAAGCACCGTAAAAGCTAAAATGAATATTCAAGCTTAAGCACAAATCAGTATGAATTGGATGAAGTAGCATGTGTACCATTCAATACGTGCCTAGTGGGTCTGTCTGGAGGCCGGGCGAGCAATGACTTAATAGCACAGATCAATATGCTTTTGATACGAATAGAAACAAACAAAGCGGTAGCCTAGGTTCCTAATTAAACATGTAACGTTCGCCATGGCTACGGGTATGACAAAAATAGTCTCAGAAAATCCGTGGCTGTTCTCCGCGGCTGTTCTCCGCGGCTGCCCTTGACAGAACACATCCAGAACACACGTGGATACAAACCAAGCACACCATAAGAACTTAAGGATAAAACAACCGGAGTGGCGATTCGGAGGGGTGGAAGTCCCCATCTGACAGCCGTGAAGGAGGGATGTGGCGATGCACACCCCACTAGCCACGCATCCCTGACACAACACCAACGGAATAGATACAAACATCGCAGACCAAGAACAGACCCGAAACCCCTACGAACGCCGTACCTTGAGAAATCGGAGTGGATGTTTGGAGGGGTGGTAGAGGCCGCCTGGTAGCCATGGAGGAAGGCACGCGCACAGCGGATGTGGTGATGGGCCGTGCACCAGTCACGCAGATTCAGCCATTCCACGGTACGCGTTGGCTTCTTGCGGAACGAATGCAGCAAGACCAGCTCCTGCGATGGGCCGTGGGATAGAAAGTACATAGCTTAATGATACGCGCACAGCTGAACGAGCTCCTCCAATGATTTTAACGCATGAGGGCGAGATGTTGGCATAAACGGATACTTAGGCACTAAACGCTTGATACGAATGTAACAAAAATGAATTGGGGTTTGTGATGTGCCTTGTAGTACATATTTGCCACTGTGCAAATAGGGCGTTAGCAAAGTAGATGCAAGACATTGGTGTGTTCACGGGACGGCACAAGATGACAGATACAGCAAAACCATACTCTACGACGAGTGGAGCAAATACCAGTGCTTCAAAGGCTTATACAAAGACCACGCAGTTTGTAGTGCATGTCAAGCCAGTTTGCAATGCATGTCAAGCCAGTTTGTAATGCATGCCAAGCCAGTTTGTAATGCATGTCAAGCCAGTTTGCAACGCATGTCAAGCCAGTATGTAGTGCATGTCAAGCCAGTTTGTAGTGCATGTCAAGCCAGTTTGTAGTGCATGTCAAGCCAGTTTGTAGTACATGTCAAGCCAGTTTGTAGTGCATGTCAAGCCAGTTTGTATACATGTCAAGCCAGTTTGTAGTGCATGTCAAGCCAGTTTGTAGTGCATGTCAAGCCAGTTTGCAATGCATGTCAAGCCAGTTTGTAGTGCATGTCAAGCCAGTTTGTAGTGCATGTCAAGTCAGTTTGCAATGCATGTCAAGCCAGTTTGTAGTGCATGTCAAGCCAGTTTGCAATTCATGTCAAGCTGAGTAGACGAAACAGAATTGGAAATACAAGACTCAACTATGGGCTAACATCGGCGCAACGAACGTACCTTCTGAGCACGATTTGTTATCGATTCCAGATCTCTCTCCACAGCACCTGTTGATTTAACATGAAGATTTAATGAACCAATACCCATGTCAATGCCATTCAGCGAAGCAGTGAAATATTACGATAACACCCGGATATGAAAAGTACTCTGCATTATACATTGACTCAGAATTGATAAAAATGCAATGAGTGCACAGCTTACCGACTGTAGGTTCGTTGTCACCCAGACCAACGATTAGTATGCAATCCGCTTGGCGCACACAACGCTTGGTCCAGGCAGAGGATTTCTTATCTGTCTCGTAGAGCTGATATCAGGCATGTTTCAATTGATCAGTGAACTGGCGAAGGGCTTCTCAACTTAAGACAGTTCCCTCTTGCACAGACATTTTCGAAACAACCGAGTTTTGTCCTCGAGAGAGTGGACTATAGACTCATTAGCTACATACCACAATATTGTGATGCTCCTCCTGCTCCCCTAGCCAACTGATGAGTTTGTACTCATGTACCGTGCTGAATACCTCGTCACCCATCATTTCTTCCACCTGCATGGACAACACAGAATGAGCTGTGGTACAAATCCCTACAACTAAAACCGATTGTGACAGGCCAACTACAAACGATGAACGGCGGAGAGGCATGCCCTTCACGGTATTCGAAATAACACAGCGATCCTGTACACAGCACACAGCACCATAAAGACCATCAGACGGACAGTAATTCGTGGCTCGTGCTGAGCATAACATATCTCAGACCATATAGATATCTATGTAGCATAAGCCACTACTAACCATCAGTCTCATCGCACATACCCTATTCCGTGTCAGGTGCAGGCAGGACCCGATGGTGCTCAGGGCTGCCGTGAGCCTCGCACAGAACTGATGCAGCGGCACGTCATTGCTGACGGCCACCACAGCCACAGTGGACAGATTCTTGTTGGTGGACATGCGCTCCTCCTCTTGTTGGTAGAGAGGGGCGGTAGGGCCACCTCGCTGGGGGAGGCAGATACCGAATGCAACAGAACGTCAAGGACGGATTGTTTTGGGTATGTAGTGTATAGTTGATTGGTATAGGTATGCAGTGTATAGTCTACTGGTATAGGCATGTAGTGTATAGTTGATTGGTATAGGTATGTAGTGTATAGTTTATTGGTATAGGTATATAGTAAATAGTTTGCGATGAATTCTTCAAGGATATTTGAAAAAATCACAGTTGGAGGAGTTATTACAACAGGCGATGAGTACAAGATGATAAACTCTGTTGCGCAATAGTTTTGTATGAGGGCCGATTCGAGTTCGTCCGTTGAACGGAGGCACACCGAGTGCAATGCCGAAAAGAAAAGTTGCAACGTAATGAGATCATTGATTTCCTGCTTATCCGTGGTCGGCAACTGTGAACCGGAAGACAGTGCAGACCCATGTCATTGGTATTCGAGGTCCAATAGATGGGAATATGCTGACGACACAATCCCGTGTACTACAGACAAATCAAATTCTGGTTTTACATTTAAGTCTATAATCAAGCCTACACAGATAGTGAGCAGTGCGGCAGTTGAACTGCAAACTAGATATAGGGGACGCATTACTACACACACACACATGTTAGGTGCCTACATCTCGACACCTACCGGTAATTCCATAGCACCAAGCAGCCGCTCTCCCAATTTACGGGTGAAGGCATTGGAGACCTTGGGGTACTTCTGTCTAATCATTTCAAAGAGCTCGCCCTATTAAACGATAGCCAAAACAGATAAATTGGGATTGGGCAATACGTGGCGTATAGGTGTCTACTGTCGCTGGTATCAATTAGGAGATATATCGTCTTAAACAAACATGTCACGCCAGCTGTCCAGTCGCAGATACGTTGGAGACAGTTGGCGGAGATACACGACGCAATCTCCGTGAAGTGTCCACACATTACACAGCAAGGCACAACCACAACATTCTGGTCCACACATTACATAGTAAGGCATAACCACAACATTCTGGTCTACACATTACATAGCAAGGCACAACCACAACAATTTGGTCCACACATTACACAGCAAGGCACAACCACAACATTCTGGTCCACACATTACATAGCAAGGCACAACCACAACATTCTGGTCCACACATTACATAATAAGGCACAACCACAACATACTGGTCCACATATTACATAACAAGGCACAATAACAACATTCTGGTACGGAAACCTTGCGAAAAAGTGGTATTCCAGCGCACACCAGGTGTTAACCACGCGCTTGTCGACAGTTCAACTTACAGGTAGCTTAGCAAGCTCAGTGTCCCGGATTGCGTGGACCGACGTAGCGCGGGGAGTGGCTGTGAGCAACTCAATCTCACCCACACTCTCACCCCTACCGAACTCAGTCACAAGCGTCTTGCGACCGCCTTGCCTACTCGTTACCACAGAACGCACACTGCAGCAGCACCAGGAATAGCAATAGTGCATGAGACATTGGATGGACGAGAGCGGCTTTGACTAATAAACGTAGTCATGGGAGCGCACACCAGTGCAAGAGTTGTTTAAGAACAGCGACTAACTAATGGTACACTTCGACTCACGCACGGCTGTGGTTCTGAAGAAATTACATAGCAGGCAGTTTATGGTCTCTGGCTGGGAAGTGAGATCTCATCCGGGTGACACACAAAAGCAAAGGAAAGCGACATGTACAAACTTCACAGGTGAATGATTGGTTGAATGTAGTAACCGAGGCATGAGCTATAAAATGCTAACGCCAAATTCTCGCTTTTTACCCGATGCGATGGATCGTTGAGTACATTAGCTGAGGGGCATTTAAAACCCTACGCGCGAGAGACAACCTGGTAGACCAGTAGCCCCATATTCTCTCGGAGCACGCAACAAAGAACAGGTGAGTATCTGATATCTATTCGGCGTGACATAGACTGCTGAAGACAACTGTTTGACGCGACACAAACTGATAAAGCAGTAGCGGGAAGTTTGCGTGGGACATTATATAAAAGGTAGGTAGGTAAATGAATGCTATCTACAAAGCACGAGAACCTTTGCCGAAGCAGCAACAATACGCCTCCCATTGAGTATAAGATAATATATAAAATAAATACTACGCGACACAAAGTACAGAACTTCTCGCGGCGTACCGTCCGTTGAGTACGATGTACAGTGCCACAGCCTCGCTGCCTTGCTTATAAACTAATTTCCCGGCTTCCACCTGGCTCCAGTCCACACCAAAATCACATTTGCGCACCAGCGGCGAGACACGTGACACTCCTGCAATGGACCGCACGAGCCATGAGAAGGACAAAAATGAGAGTGCGACAGAAGGAGCGACAATATACACAAGTGTATTTTACTTGCAACAGACATAGCTCAGATGATAACAGAATGTCTGTATCAGAGCGACCACGGATACAGCAGCACGATGGGGTGCGATCTAAAAACGAACGAACAGACCAAACAATCGGAGTGCTATCTGAGACAAGTATACTCTGTCCGAGTAGCGGAATTCCACAAGAATAGCAATGAGCTGCACAGTCCCCCATGCAGCCGTCAACATAGCCAGGGTGATGGCCTGTCGTTCACGAACATCTAAGTAGACCCGAATGGATACTCGAGCAATCGCAAACGTCGCGAAAGATACAGAAGATACGTACACAAGGGAGCGAGAGCTTCATACCGTGCAATGCAAATAGCAGCATGGACGGAGGGCTGTCGTTCATGAGTATCTCAAAGCTCTGGACAGACAACTTGAGCATCCGCACGGGCTTATCTCCCGTCGAAAGAGTATAGAACGACGGCATACTGGTGACCAGAGACATCTCGCCTATGGTTTCACCAGGCTGAGCCACCATGACGACATGCTCCAACCTGGTGCCCTCAGAACTCCCCTGGTAATGGATGATTAGGCGACTACAATATATGAATGCACATATACATTATATATAAGCAAAAGCAAGTGTTGAGTAAACCGAGTGCATCATGCTCAGCAGAAAAACCCATTGATCATTGGTGGCATATTTAACCCAGATCCAGTCTACAGGCCGATGAAAGTCCACAGGATATTCGCTTCCCGTTTCTCAGCCGAATCGCACTTTATGCACTGGCAATAGTCTATCCATGTTAGGTTTAGCGACAAAAACAAAAACATTTACAACACACCTGGTAGCGTTGACTCGTAGTTGGTGTAAGCGAAGCCTCGATCGTGCCTGAAATGACGTGGTACAGATGGCAGTCGAGGTGTGGCTGCCCTTGTTCTACCAAGACCGTATTACCTTCAATTATGTCATGCTCAACTAGTTTGTGGACTGTAGCAAAATCAAAAAGTGTCGTTGTACGAGTCAATATCAATGGGAGATCAGCTTTCCTTGCCCTAAGCCGGGGGATCAGCCATGTCGCTTTGATGAGTCATATTCTCTCAAATGACGGGAGGCCACTCTAGACTTGTGACCATGCTTCATCCACACCATTGATGATAGATCGCCACAACGTATCAAGCCGTGCACGGAAGAGGCAGCACCAATTCACCTTTGACAGAACAAACAATCAACACATACGGCAGCATACCCAATTCCTTGTTGAGCTTGAACTGCTGGCAGAGTGCTTCAACCCCCTCCTCAATCAATTGGGCCACGGTTTGGCCTTCCTTCAGGTCTTCCAACCGCGGAGCTGAGTTCATACTGCGCATGACCGTTTGGTCCTGAGTGTCTGAGGTGTTTGACCCGTGGCGACTAACACGCCCTCCAGACTTACCCCGAGTGAACATCCCAAAACCCAGCACATCCTTTGTCGGGCCAAGTTTGGTGAAGGTCTTGCCCACCGCCCGCACACTAAGCACACAATATAGAAGCGAGGTCAAAAAATAAAAATAAAAATAGATTGGTGTAAAATGTGTGGAAGCGTTCTGTTGGTATTGTTGAGTCAGGAGTAATCGGTTGTCGTAGAGATTAAACCAGAAATTGCTTGCGAGGAGGAGATGATTTAAGAACACAGGGGTGTAAATTGTAAGAAGAACATAGAGCTGATTATTTTAAGCCTTATTTAGATATGATCAGAATTTGGAATTCGTACGCAAAAATGAACCCTTCTGTCCATACTAGTATGCGGTAGATGCAAACCGTTTACAACGACAGACACTCACGGACCACTACAATAGATAGCTCAACGCTAAAATGTACTTCATCCCCCACTTCAGATACCAAATGTGAGGGTATTTGCAACAACGAACGTTCCAGGCAGCTGACAAAACCACAACGCAAGACGAGTACTTCCTTACCGTGTAGTAGGATTTTTATGCACGGGGTCGATGGGCAGGAACAACTCATGGGTGAGACCCAAGTAATTATACAGAATCAGTAGCGTGACTCGCTGCAATCGGACCAGAATCATGCTCGCCATTTTGGTGCTTGCCGATGGGAATCTGTCGAATATTGGCTTGGCCTGAGCCATGGGCACTCGTAACACCTGTGTCGGGATAGCAGGGCGATGGGGTGGCATTATGTGAATGAGTTGTTCCAAGGATATCTGAAACGTATACAACCATTAAGAATGGGTCTGGTTCACTGCCCACAACAGCAACGCATTAATCACAAACGGGATACGCTTAATATTGTCAGAATGCGATGGAGAATTTAATTTCTAGCAAGTCTCAATAACGAGCAAATATACACACCGTTGCTGGAGTTATAGCCCTCGCCTCCACAGACACAAATTGGGATGTATGCCCCGCCATCACCTCTAAGATACTGACCAGACTCGACACACTTCCTGAGAGAGTTCAGATGGATCAGTGTTTTGGCTAAGGGGAATATACTGACACCAATCCTTCGAAAAATCCACACACAAGGCGCAGGCATAAATACCGAAGGCTTTGGGTCAGTATTATAAAACACCCTTCTTCCAAGCATTGTGTAGTCGAAGCAACGATATGGCAGATTGAAAGCAAATTGGCACATTCTCTGTGCACGCACCGGGGGCTCCAAAAGGGGAACCGCAATTAAAGCATAACCTGCTTCAAAAATTAACACAATCCAGATCCAAATTAAAACTACCAAGTAAAACAATGATGCACATTACCTCCTGGCTGGACAACGTCCATCACAGTGTATTGCTCTGTCTCTTTGTCTTTGGCGACAACCTGTATCTCGCCACTGCTGACGACGTATATGGAATCATCCGCGTCGCCTATTTTGAAGAGGTTCTCCCCTTTGTACAACGATATGGTAGCCACATGCTTCACCAATTCCAGCACAACGGGACTCTCAAAATACCCAAACACACGGCAGGTCTTCAGTATTACGAGCACCTCCGATTGCAAAGTGTTGTTGTGGTCGTCTGAGGGACATCAGGTTACGCAATTGTTAGAGAGATATACAGATCTGCCCATACCAACACGAACATCCGTAGATTCATCGCACATCGACAATACCATTAATGTGTCACTAGTTCGTATGATAAGATAACAGGCCGGAATCGGTGCAAGGAGGCTCAAGCTCGGATGGCTTCCAACAGACTTCGGACGAGAACTGCTGGACAACCATACGAAACACCCGAGGGGAATATATGCTGGTTACACTAGAAAACTCGCAAGCACTCTCGAAGAGATAGGGGTTTAGGTTTCAAGCACAAACCCATGAGCGAGGCCGTGCGATAGAGCATTAAGGATCTCAAACCACTCCCATCAAGATTGAATCAGCGCACAGTTCCCTCAACATGAACATACCGGTATCTTCCCAGCCTGCTTCAAGGAACGATGCCGGTGCTTCCCGTACACGTAGTCTAGGACCGCCCTTGGCGCTGTTCTTCTTCTTGCGCAACAGAACATTCTTCGGCAAAACGTTCTGAATGGTAAGTGGGTAGGCATAGCAACCACATTAGCAGCGAGTGATTGCAGAAGTCCCACGCACAACATGTGAAACCCAGCCGAGATGTACCTCTTAAAGTTTGAACATTCATGGTAACGACTGTACACAGGAGTGTGAGACGCGCGTTAATTAAAACGGGATCATACACACTCGTGTATGAGAAGTGTGTGATTGAATCCAGAGACACTAGGTAACCGCCTGCAGTGAAGGACTGCCACTCCACACAGCACACTCACCGACGCGAATTGCATCCAGTGATCACGGTTGAATCGCTCTTTAAGAGAGGAGAACGTCAGGCCATCGTCGCTGTCACTCAGATCAGTTTCTGACCCGGACTCCCGGTCGTACTCACTTGCAATGCGATGATCGTGTGGTCTGCAACAGTAATGTTTGACAAATGTATGTGAATGCATAGTTGTACTGGTTATAGATCAGAAGTAGTCCTTGATCTGTTGCAACTGATTCTCGAGGAGGCAGACGTCCGTAAACGATCGTGGACGAAACGGACACACAGTGGTGCGTATGACACACAGTGGTGCGTATGACACACAGTGGTGCGTATGACACACAGTGGTGCGTATGACACACAGTGGTGCGTATGACACACAGTGGTGCGTATGACACACAGTGGTGTGTATGACACACAGTGGTGCGTATGATACACAGTGGCGCATATGACACACAGTGGTGCGTATGACACACAGTGGTGCGTATGACACACAGTGGTGCGTATGATACACAGTGGTGCGTATGACACACAGTGGTGCGTATGACACACAGTGGTGCGTATGATACACAGTGGTGCGTATGACACACAGTGGTGCGTATGACACACAGTAGTGCCGTAATGGACCACACTAGTACGGTGCCGTATAGACCACATGAGTCTCGTAGTTACCGTACCGAGAACGTTGAACGGTCTAACCGTACGTAACGTA